CTTGCACAGGCTGGTGCTAGGCATGAACTTTGTGCTTTTGGATTTCTTTAGAAAGATATTATATATATTCTTTATTGAGGAAGTTGAGGAAATTATAGTCCCATATAGTTTTCCTTTTTTCCTATGGCTGTGTTTAAATTGCTTTTCTAAAAGCTGAAATGTGTGATCACCTTGTGAAAATACGAAGGGGAATTTTATTCTCTGTGCATCTTTTCTGACCATAGTAAGCGTAGAGCAACATTTTCAACAGTGTCTATGTCATGTGATTTCCACTTTACTGGGGGAAAGACCTAACTGCTAAGTGTGAACCATGATCTCCCCAAGATGCCTCCTGTGAGAGTCGGAGCACTGGGAGCTACTATTTAACAAGTTGACAGGCTTTAAAAAAATGAAGAAAGTGTGAGGTTCTCCCCCTCTGCTCTGCTTGGGCACTCATTCTATTTTCACTCCTGTTTCTCCTGTTTATTACTTCTGGAGACTGCAAGAATGCATTAGGTTTAAGAACGTTTGTTATAGAACTCTCCAAAAAAGTGTAATTTAAATGGGGAAAACTTATTTTTCTTTTTATCGCACTATCTTGTACTGTCTTCTGCCACTACTGCTGTTTCTATAAACAAGTATCTTGGTTTTTTTCTGAGCTGGATGAAGACCTTTGAGTTCAATGGACTTTGGTATGCATTTTGAAGCAGTTTATTTCTAAAGTGAAACTAAATTAATAGTCTTTAAAAGATTGCAAGCTGAATTCTAATAATAATAATTTCACAAATAACTAATCCAGCAGTGGTATTCATGGGCAAGAAGCTAATAAAACAAATTTCTGACTTTCTAAACATTTTCCACAGAGAAGATGGATCCACTTTAATATGGAAACTGTTCTGGAGGGTAGGTGCCTTGATAACTTGCCACTATAATGGGTTTAGCTTTGCTGTTACTGCTCCTGTGAAAATTCTGTGGCTACGTCTAGTCTTCATGTTTTTATTAGAAACACTTTTTTTTTTTTGGTTATTAGTGCAGGTAAATATTTACATTACCAAGCGTTCAGAATCTTCAGGGTTTTGTATGAAGAACTTGTTACTGCATCCTAATTTTTAACAATTTTTAACAAAGTTAAAAGTTAAGAAAGCAGTATCTTCAGACAAGCTTGCAACCCTTCCTACAGACTTAATGCTAGGACCATATAGTCACTGTGTTCTTACAATGATTACAATGGCTATTATTCTGCAGAATTATTTTTATTTAATAGAAAAAGTGACAAGAAGAATGTTGAAGTGGGATGGACAGTATGCCTGAAATAACTTCTCAGTGCTGTGATAAGACAGTGAAGCATTACTGTGTAGTTTGTCAGTTTCAACAGGCAGTAGTTCAGAAAGGCTGAGTCTTACTAAAGTAAGTGGTTTCTTTTTCCCTTATGTTTCTGGGTGGTTTTCATAGGTGATGAATGCAGCATTGGTTCAGCAACAGACCTGACTGAAACAAGTTCTATGGTGGATGGTGACTGGACCATGGTGGATGAAAACTTCTCCAGTCCAAGTTTAACTCAGTCAGAGCTTGAACATATCTCTCTAGAACTGGCTAGTAAAGGGCCACACAAGTCACAGGTCCAGCTGCGGTAAGTGATGTAATCTTTGCGTTTGAAACTTGAAATTAGTAGTATGCAGCATTAGGAGAAAGAAACATTGTTTACAGAATCACACTGGGATTTTGTCTTCAGAGTGGGAAAAGAAATAAGTGGACTGTTTTTCCATACAGGTATTTGCTACATATCTTCATGGAAGCAGGATGTCTGGATTGGTGTATTATCATAGGCCTTATCCTCAGAGAATCCTCAGTAATCAACCAGGTTTTCAGTATAATGCAGTCCTCTGATACTGATGGAGAAATCTGTCAGAATATCAAGACTGGCCTATATGCTGTTGACAAATGGGCTTCTACAGATTGGTAAGTGTTGTTTGCCACCTTCATTTTCACTCCAGTTGCAGATAATGAGTTACCTAAAAAATAACTGAGTTATCTCAGCCCTTGCTGAAACAATTATTTAAAAGCACTTTTGCAGAAAATTTCAGGACAGTCACGTAATACAGTAGTGATCAAAATGGGGAAAAAAACCCCAACAAACCAAACCAAAAGAGCCAACCCCCCAACTTTTGATTATGGTTGCCTTTTTCCTTCTGTTTAAAAAAAAATTTAAAAGGAGTTTCTGCACTGGAAGGGTTATAGAAGATACTCATTAAACATCTCCCAAGAAAAGATGCTTTTCGGGCATATGACAGAAGTATTATTTTTTTAATTCACTCATGGTGTTCTATACAATTATTTTCCTAGCCCTGGGTACAAGCCATTTCTAAGTATCATCAAACCACAGATCCAGAAGCTAAGTGAAATAGCAGAAGAACAAGTACAACCTGAAGCTTTTCAGCCAGTGAATCCTTCTAAGGTTACCGAACAAGCGAACCCCAGAGCTGAGGAAAGCAGGACTTCGTCTAGCCATGGCACTAATCCTCAGAGTGATGCTGGCAACAGCAATGCAAGCAGGCATGAAGAGGACAAGTCTAAGCCAGAGGACGAGGATTCATTCCAAGAAGGCAGTTATGACTGTATTGTGTCTTAAACAGAAGGCAAACAACTTCCCAAGCATCAGGTGTGAAAGGAAGCAAAACCAGCTCTTAGACATGCTTCCATGTTTTGGATTTGAACTATTTTTTTTATATATATGTTTCAATCTTTGAAATCTTTAGTGGGGATAAATAAGCAGCAGTTTCATCTAATAATTTCAAAAGGAGGCAAGATTTTTTTTTTTTTTTTATGCAATCTTCAGACTGCAGCTTTAGGTTTTGATACTTTTAAATAGAGTTGAGAGACAATGAATACATATGGAGACAGGTTCAGCTAATGTTCATCAGTACCTTTACATCACTAACATGTGTTCTGGAGAAACTATCTCTTGCTTGAGTTTAAAAGTCTGAGAGGGGATTAAATTTAAAAACTGTTTTCCTTTGCAGCTTGCCTGCCTAAGAAATGTCTGATCAATGCAGTTCAGATTGGTTTGATATCGATATTTTGTATTAAAGGACTGTAAAATACATTATATGTTTTTGTGAATACTCTTGTACAAATACTTAAGGTTGTACCATATTTGAAGGTACCAATATGTATTGTGCATGTTTCTAGATTACTAGTAAAGTTAAAGCGGAGTTGCACTTCTTTCTGGATGAGGCATACTTTACTGACCTAACATTGACACAAGGTGGCTTACCTGTTTTTTACTGCCCGTTACAGATCTTGTAGTTGGGTTTTAAGGGATTGGTGAAGGTTATTTATTTCATTGTAAATTCTTTTCTGAAAAATGGATTTTTTAAATGTAAATAATCATCATATACTCTTGCTATGGAAAACTAGTTTAACAGCTCATACTTAGACATTTTTCAAACATTTTATAATAAGTATACTTGTAACTAAGACATTTAACTTTCATACGATGTTATGGAAAGCTGGCTGCAGAAGTCTGTTGCTTTGAGGTACTTACTTTTTCTAGCTGCTGTCCCTATGTAATAACTACCTGTAACAGTATTAATTTAGATATTAGCTTGTTTGTACTGTGCAATCTGAACAAAAATGCAACATTATTCATTTTATAAAGAAAAAACAAACCTAGTTTATTTTGTATAACATCACTTGATTACTGACATGGACCAAACAAGTCATCATAGGGTAGTTACAGCATCTGTTGCTAGTTTTCTAGTGTAGTTACTAAACGCACATCCATTTAAACTCTGAAAATTAGAATATTCACAATTAAGTTGAAATACATTGTGGTTTATCATCTTTATTTCCTTTGTAGATAAGATCAAGTGCTTTAAAATGTACAAATATTAAACTTTTGCTTTAGAATGGCTTTACTAAGCCAATACAACCAGTACAAGTGCAATAATTGCGAGCATTACTTGGAGAGCTGGAGATTTTAGTGAATGCAGCTTGAATTTCCATTTAAGAGTTGAAACTAATATTGAAGTTATAGAACAGAAATCCAGTTCAAGAGTCCCAGCATTAAGCTTAGTCTGCATTGTAGCTACTGGTTACAGATAATGTCTATCGTACCTACATACCATACAACCTACCTGTTGTGATCTGACTTCAAAATCCATTATTGTTATAAGGGGATACTTAAGAGCTTTTTTTATGATAAAAAAAAAACCTGCTTAATCTATGTTAAAAGAAATAAAAAACTGTGCTTCAAGTTAATACTTTTTTCTGTGGTTCTGTGGTAATGATGTAAGCCAAGCCCATGTGGACCAGCCTTCTGCTGTTCAGGTTTTGGATCTGTGCAAGTGAACACATACGTTAACTGACATACTAACATTTTTAGTATTAGTATCTTACTGCTGTGCTACTGTTGTTTAGCAGTTAAATCTTTTTAGTTGTGAATTTTAGAAGTTTGTACTTATTTAGTAGTAATTCTCTCTATGCAAATCTTATGTGCTAATTTTGTATTTCAATTTCACTGCTGTTATAACCTGTAATTAAAAGACAAATATGTTCACTTTTACTTCAAGTTACTCCTGTGGAAAATAACTATTTCTGACTTCAAGCCATGGAGAGTAAATTGCCAGAATTCAAGTGGGTTGTCTCAGAGAAACAAAGCTCTCAAAGAAACTACCCTGTGAAGACTGGTTTAGTTTGCCACGTCACACCCCTACGGTCTATTTTACAGGATGAAGGCATCAAGCTTCTAAGTTAAAAATTACCTTATTAGTGCATCTTTGAAGTTACATCCACCTGTTGTTTTGAAAGGAGGTGTATTGGGTTTAGGTGGCAAGGGGGGCTGCAGGGGTGGCCTCCTTGAGTAGAGCCCAGCAGCTGCCCCTGTGTCAGACACAGCCAGCTCCACCAGACCAAACATGGGACACAGCTGAGCCCACCAGCAAAGCAGGTGCCTCCTCTCTGGTAATATATTTAACTAAGGGTTAAAAAAAAATGCTGTGCAGCAGCTGGGCAAGGGATAAGTAAGCGAGAGAAAAAAGATGTGAGGATGAGTCCTGCAGACAGCCGTGCCCATAAAGGAGAGGCAAGAGGAGGTGCTGCAGGCACTGCAGCAGAGACCCCCCCGCAGCCTGTGGATCTCTGCAAGGGAACATGTTAACTGACATACTAACCTTCTTACTATTCGTATTCCACTACTGTGCTACTGTTGTTTAGCAGTTAAATCATTTTAGACCATGGTGAAGCAGGCTGTCCCCCTGCAACCTCCCTGTGGAGTGGATATCCGCACTGTAGCCTATGGAGGACCCCACACCAGAGCAGGTGGATGAGCCAGGAGGGAAGCTGCAGCCCATGGAAAGCCCAGGCAGGAGCAGGTTTTCTGGCAGGAACTGTGGCCCATGGGGAACCCAGGCTGGAACAGTCTGATCTGGAAGGACTGCCCCGTCATGAGGAGGATCCGCATTGGAGCAGTTCATAAAAGACTGTATCCTAAAGGAGGAACCCCATGCTGGAGCAGGGGAAGAGCATGAAGAGGAAGGAGCAGCACAGAGGAGCTGTTATGGACTGACCATGACCTGACCCTCAACTGACCATCCCTAGTGATCCCTCTGCACCACTGTGGAAGAGGAGGTAGAAGAGTGACATTGAGTCTGGGAAGAAAGGGGAGGTTGGGGAAGGTGTTTTTATTTTTCTCTTTGTTTGTTGCTGTCCTACTTTATTTTTAATTGGCAATAAATTAAATTAATTTTTCCTAAGGCCAGTTTCTTTTGCCTGTTATGGTAACCAGTGAGTAATCTCCCTGTCTCAATCCATGAACTTTTTCATCTTCTTTTCTGCTCCTGGCCTGCTGAGGAGAGGGTGCAAGAGAGCACTTTGGTGGGCACCTGGCAGCCAGCCAAGGTTAACCCACCACAAAAGGTTTGTTCATCTACAAACATGCACTGTTACCTCAACCTAAACATAGGAAAAATGGGCCCTTTAACCAGCTGAGGGTCAACATTTTCTACAGAATTCCAACTCACTGTCTCCCCTCTCACTTTGCTTATCCAGCTCACATAAAACTGGCTGCCCTGGTCCTTGCCAACCTGGCCTATTTAAGCGTTTACCATTTAAAGGCATAGAAAGGTGTCAGATGTCCTCCTTACCAGCACTTGCTATCACCAAGTTTTCTTGATCTGTTTCTCATCCTGTACAAAATTAATTGCTTCAGAAACCCAGCAACAATCATAGAATGTTTTGAGTTAGAGGGGACCCATTTTAAAATATATATATATATATATATCCTCTCAAGAGCGTATGCGCAAAACTGCTTGAGTCAAATCACATTTCTGAGGATAATTTTCACCATCACTTTTGTCAACCAGAGTAAGCTCATTTCCCACTCGTGTGTTTTAGTGCAAAGCAACCCATTTAAACTGGTTTAGAGCTGAAGTGTCTGTAAGCTACAGGTTGAGATCCACTGCTAAGTAAACAGAAATACATGAATGCATAATCTAGCCAGAACCTGTATGGAAGAGGTCCATTCTTTTCATGATAAACAGAGGGGAGAGGTTGTCTGCAGCTATAATTATAAAAGATGATGGGTGACTTGTTAAGGGTGCCAAGCTGGCTTCAACTGAAGGAAGGAGAGCCTGCCCCCCCCCACCCCCAAAAGGGGGCACACACCCAAGTCACTCTCATCATAGTTTCCTATCCTAGAGCTGAAGACTGTTGAGGTATTCTAGTGGGTAGCGAGATGAATGCCAGCTTATGGCAAGTGGCAAAAGTAGTCCCAGTGCTTAAACACAGAAAAGGGAGGAGCTTTCCTGTACCACTCAGAAACTTGCTTTTGCCGAATTTTCTTTTTATTATATACCACCTGAAATAAGTGAACTTGAGGAGCACTAAGAAGCCCACAACTGGATGCTGAAGCAAGCTAAGCAGTTCAGACATGAGGCACCTAACCATTCTTTTGCAACTTTTCCAAGTTATTTTTTCCCCCATGAAGAAAAGAAACACCCCACCACTACACACAGAAGAAGCAACATCCCTGAACAGAAAGCTGCCCATGCACAGTTTAAGACCGTTACTTAAGTTGACCTGTACCTATTGGCTTTGAAGCTTGTATCTGATCCAGAGCCTCAGACCAGACTGGCAGACTTATTCCTTTCTAGACAAACTGCTGCTAACTTTCAAGACTTTCTGAAAACAAGTTCTTTTTAAAAAAACTGTTTTGTTAATGGCCAGTGACACTTGACACCCTGCTTGAAATACAGGTAGGGGTGACTAGATCTTCCTAAATTGGCTTATGCTTCCTGCTCAAGTCTCAGCTTTACCCTTGGCATGTTCTGAAGCTCCATCTACATCTGTGACAGAACCATAAAGTGTTGTAATCCAACAGAACCTCTTCAGTAGTGAACAGGGAAGCCTGAGTAATTTCTAGGACTAATTTCTCCTCTGAGACTGGAACAGATTTTCATGAAGACTGAGAATCCATGTTCTATCTGGGGGACTTCAACCTCCCAGACATCTGCTGGAAATACAATACAGCAGAAAGGAAACAGTCCAGAAGGTTCCTGCAGTGTGTGGAAGATAACTTCCTGACACAGCTGGTAAGTGAGCCTACCAGGGGAGGTTCCCTGCTTGACCTCCTGTTCACTAACAGCGAAGGACTGGTGGTCGGAGGTCATCTAGGCCTTAGTGATCATGAAATGGTAGAGTTTTCGATCTTTGGTGAGGTAAGGAAGGGGGTCAGCAACACCGCCACCATGGATTTCCGGAGGGCAGACTTTGGCCTGCTCAGAACGCTGGCTGTGAGAGTCCCTTGGGAGACAGTCCTGAAGGGCAAAGGGGTCCGAGAAGGCTGGGTGTTGTTCAAGGAAGAAGTCTTAAAGGCACAGGAGCAGGCTGTCCCCATGTGCCATAAGGCAAAT